CACACACACATATATATATACATACATACAAATGTTGATATATATATATATATATATAGTACATATATACATATATATATCTATATATATATATTCATATATATATATATATCTAAATATATCTCTATAGATAATTATATATATATGTATAAGATATATATATATATATATATATACACACATACAAACACACACACACAAATATATATATATATATATATATATTAATATTTTTTATGCACATTTCATATATGATAGATAAATATATACATACACACACACCCACCCACACCCGCAAATAAATATCATAGATATATAGATATATGTAAATGTACATTTACATAAGCATGTATTGGTACATGTATATTTAGATATACACGTGTATGTATAAATACATATCAATATAAAAAAATTACATACATACATACATACATTCATATATATATATATATATATATATATACGCACACACATACAAACACGAACACATCAACACACATACATATCAACACACACACACAAAAACACACACACACACATATATATTTATATATATAGATATATATATATAATATACATATATATATATATATATATATATATATATGTATGTATAGATATATATATATATAGATATATATATATATATAAATATGTGCGTATGTATTCGTGTGTACTAAAGGTATAGATACACAGAAAATGAGTATATTTAGATTTAAATATGTATTCGGGCGACACATACACCCACACAATATATATATATATATATATATGTATATAGAAATATAGAAATATAGAAATATATATATATATACATATACATATGCTCTGACCTTTCTGGTTGTTGCTCTGGTTCGCATCAACTAATAGCCAGGCTTGAAATAAGTCATGAAAGAATATACTTTACATAGCACTTCCACCACCATGTCAAGAAGACTGATATGCCTGCATAAGCTACTAAACACGATACAGATATCAAGAAACTGCAATCAAACAATATAGTATGTTCACGACTGCTTATTAATACGCAGCCACTTACAAGTCTTCAAACCATCACAGATAAGCTACTAAACACGATACAGATATCAAGAAACTGCAATCAAACAATATAGTATGTTCACGACTGCTTATTAATACGCAGCCACTTACAAGTCTTCAAACCATCACAGAGAAGATTAGACAGAAACCACAGAATACATACCAATGCTCCTATCATACTCATCAGGAACTTAAGGTCATCCTGGCTTGATTTCGAAGTTTGGAACATATTCGTACCATTCTCTTGTTGGTTTAATTGACTGCTATCCGTGCGATTCTCCACCCCTGACCCTTCAGGCGCGCGTGCCTCTAGATCCCGTACAATTTCGCCTATAGACATATCATCGATGTTTCTCACAGCAGCTTTGTTGCTAGGCTCAGCGTTATTCTCGGGACCTAACTCACACAGGGACATGTCTTCGAACATCTTCGAGGCAGACTTGACAGTCTCCTCATCGATACGGTCTGACATAGTACTTGTTAGTATGTTGTGCACTGTATGTTTAGTAATATATGATTATATATGTTCCTTACGCAGAGGCGCTACTTTCTTGCTGTATACCGTGCACAGTGTGCACGTTGTTCGACCTATCTCTGTAATACTCTACACACGGAGATAAATACGAGTATATAAAAATACGCAGACTACAACTAAAAAATATACTTCCCATTTCTCAAATGCTCTAAAATTATTATCGTCTGATTCTTGTCATTATTGTGTGTAGTAAAGAAAAAATACACAAAATGTATGTTTATAAAACCGCCATCATTTCTTGACAACGAAGACTCAAAAGTCAAAGAGCCTAATTTTTTTTAAGAGCAAAGACAAAAGCTGTTTCGGCTATGCGAAAGCCCTAATTTTCCTCTCTTTTGTTTTTTTTAATAAAAAAACCCCTTTGTATTTTTTTTATCCTTTTTATACCCCCGGTGATAAAAATATGGAATGGAGGCTTTTTCTGAAAATACACAAGTCCTAAAATAAAATACTTTGCCTGAAAGCTGAACAGTGAACTTCTCAAGCCCTGGTCCCTGGAGTCCTGGAGTCCTGAACTCTGAACGCCTCGTACACGCGAAGTTTAAATTCGATGCTGATACGCCAATGACAGAATAAGCCAATGAATAATAAGCTATAGAAAAATCGATATGATTGGCTTAAAAGAGTACTACATACATAATTAAGAAATATTTACTATTTTGGATCTCGTTCATGTAGTACGTACTACGAAATATGCATAATTTCATATTTTACTTCAACGGCTTCCTATTTTCACATATACTGTCAGTCGCCCTCTCCTGGTCAAAAATTATTGTTTTGTCCAAAAGATATATTGCTAATTTGGCTCAAAGGCTTCTAAAAAAGTATTTGGATGACCATTTTTTAAATTATTCTGTATTCTCGTTCTAGTAGTATGTGCAGCAGAGAAATCAATTGGAGATCAAATATTTAAGTGAAATATCCCTCAGTTAAAAATTCAATTTAAAACCTATAAGCCAATAATAATTCTAATAGTTCTAGATGTGTATCATACATACTAAATGAGTCATGGCCCTCTGGATTGGGGTCGCGAGCAGAAATCAGGTTCTTTCCGACAACAAATCGTAAATTTAGCAGTGACCCAAATCCAGAGACCACCATAAAACTCATCCATGGCCTTCTGGATTTAAGTCTCTGCAATTTACGAGTCGCCGGAAGAAACCTGATTTCTGCTCGCGACCCTAATCCAGAGGGCCATGACTCATCATTTTATCATCATCATCATGTGTGTACTATGCAGGGTTATCCAGTTTTTAGGGTAGCCCTGTTGAATATATACTGTTCCATCTAGGAGGTATCCGGCCACAAGGAGTTATATAAAATAAGTAGTAAAAAGCAATGAAGTTGAAAGAGTTAGAGGGATGGCTGGGTCAATTGGAGACCTTCGAATACCCAAAAATACTGCTAGAACAATACCCCACCCCGCCTCACATCGCAGCAAGGTTGATGTATACCATTGAGCAATCATATGGGTGAGTAAATATGCTTTGACAGATATGATGTATCGTCACGAGCGGTTTATCATGTAGCAATATGCGTAGACTTATTTTGACACATACACATACATACACACACACACACACACACACACACACACACACACACACACACACACACACACACAACAACACAACAACACACAACACACAACACACATAATATATAATAATATATATATATATATATATATATATATATATATATATATATATA